GAATTATGAGTATGAACTACTCAACTCAAGGAACTTCACGGGTAACATGTAGTAGCCCCATGATTAGGAATATAATCCCAAAATGATTAGGAACTCAATACTCAAGAGTTAGAACTTGAAGATACTACTCCTCTCAAAGATACTCAACTGATGGAGTTCATGCGGAATTTATGGGCATGAATGACTCGACTCAAGGGTCTAAATAACCATATGGAACTCATGTATACGACTCTTCTCATTCTCATACTTACTTCCTCAAAACTCAGTTTAAAACTCAAGTGTTGGTTTTGAAAAACTTCTCAAGATTTATAACTTAAAATAGAGTTCATGCTGAATTATAGACATGAACAAATCAACTCAAGGATCTCAATAAAAATATAGAAACTCAATAATTAGGAATAAATTTTTTAAAAGAACCATGAACTCAAGAACTCAAATCAACTTATCTCAAGAATACTCAAATCTAGGGGTAGAATCCTAGATTTCTCTGTTATTGATTTGAAAGAAGATGTAGGGCCTGAGGACGAACTAGTCCAACACTATGATAGCCTTACATACCTGGAAGAACAAGGTTCTTGAAGAATCTTGAAGAAAAACTTGATTAGAAGCCTTGAAACCCTAGCTTGAAGGTAAACGATCAAGAAAACCTTTCTTGAGATTCTTGAATTAGTTTCTTGAAATCTCTTGAAGCAGCATCTTGAAAAAGATTGAAATAATCTTGAATGGAGTCTTCTACTTTGATTTTTCTTAGGGTTTTACCCTAGGGTTTGAGAGAGAAGAGAATGATGGATTAAAAGATGAAAAATCTGATTGTTTTGAGCCTTTTATTTGTAAAAAAATTAGTTTAGGGTTTTCTTGGAGGTAAAAAGACAAAACGACCCTTTTTAATGTTTTCCCGTCCGCCGATTCGTATATCAGGTTACTAAAATGGTCATAACTTTTTACTCAGATATTAGATTGACGAGAAATTAGTGGAGTTGGAAAGTAGATTCAAATACCTTTAATTTGATAGGTTATGGGCCACATAATTCCTTATATTCTAAGAGATATGACCGTTTGAAGTTGACCCAAGTATAATCTTACATCAAAACTTAATCGATAAGGAAACTTCAAGAACACTTATCAAGAAATTAAATTGTTCAATATTTATGGATAGATTCACAAAATAAACTCATGATTGGCGTGTGGGTGAACAAACCCAACACTATGGAAGCTTACATACCTCAAAGAACTAGGTTTTTGGCGGAATCTTGAATTTCTTGAACGAACGCTTGAAACTTTGAGCTTTTTCTCCTCTTGAATCTTCTCTCTAAAACCCTAAATGCTTTTGGGGATGAATGAAACTAATTCTAATCAGTTTAGACCCTTAATTGGGTGTAAGTCGCGTTTAGAATAAGTGGGGGTAAGGTTAGACTAAAATACCCCTCCTATTTTCAGTTGACTTTCCTTAAATGGACAGCCTGACTTCAAAAGGGGATATCTCCTTCATACAAGCTCAAAAATTAGCAAACTCGGTGGTGTTGGAAAGAGGACTCAGAGATGTTTCATTTGATATCTTGTGGGTCTCCTAACTCATCCTGTACTGAAAGTTATGGTCGTTTGAAGTTGACCCAAAACTTAGAAGAACCTAGGAATCACTTGAAGGAATTCTATTTAGTTATTTTTGGAGCTCAAGGTGCTACATCTTGTGACCTTAACACTTAAGAAAATTTAAATTCCTCCGTGAAATCTTACTCTCAACGAAGAATGGTTGGAGTCTTAGTTCAATTTTCAACGGAATTAACACTCAATTTATACAAATTAGATGCTCCATAACAAACATAATTTGGGCTATGGAGCGCAAATAGCAAAACTATAGCTATAGAGCGCTAATATGATTTTCATCTTTGCTATTCCTAAAATTTACTGTTTATTATTTAGAGTTGATATACCTCACGTTATAAAAATGGTTTATGTATATAGTTCTACATTATAAATTTGGCTCATATATACTCTTACCTTTATAAAAATCATATATTTTTTTTTTTACATGTAAATTATTTTTTGACTTCTTTAATTATTAATATTTGAGTTTATTATTCTTATTTCATTTCTACTTTCATTATAAGAGTAAGATAAAAAATTTAAAAAAAGGTATGAATGGAAAAAAGAGAAAAAACTAAACATAAGATTTTTTTATTTGTAATTTTAATGTTGATTATTTTTTTAAATATAACTTTTATATTTAAAATATATAATGTTTTTCTTTTTCCAAACAGGCCAAATAGGCCCAAATTAGAAGTACAAAAGGCCCAAAATTTAGACCAACAAAAAGGAAACAAACTACAACAATAAAAAATAAAAAAATTTGGAAAATAGCTAAAAGTGTTCTCATCTTCTTCTCAAATTCTTGATGTGAAAATCCATGGAGCTCAGTTGCTTCCAACTATGGAGCTTAAAGGTAAGCTTGTTATATGATCTTAGGCATATTTGTATGCTGAAGTTGCCAATAATTGCCCATGTTGAGATTGAATTTAAGAATAATCTTGACCATATTAGCTTGTTTTGTTTAACTTGTGATGATTGTGCACTAAAACACATGATTAGGTGTTACAGGAACTTTCAAGATGAATGGAGTCCATTTGAGGTAAGGAGAAGCGTGGAGCATGAAAAATAAACTAAGGAGGAAAGCACCAAGGGTTGGCGTACTGCCTGGCGCGGGGCGCAAAGGCATAAACTACATAATCCCTTCACTGGCGTACTACCTGGCACGAGGCGCCAAGGCCTTTCCTACAATAGCGCTTGCCAGGCGCAATGCCTGGCGCGGCGTGGCACAACTGGAACCACAGAAGGCTTTGCCTGGCGCGGTTCATCAACCCGTGTCCGACGTGCCCAGTGAAAATTGAATTAAATAGGACTCCTTGTTGGATTAGATTTAGAATATAGTTTTCCTAACGTCTATAAATAGACCCCTAGGGCTATTTTATAGGCGTTCGACTTTATTTTGGTGTGCAAGAGCAGGATCCAAGTTTTGTAATAGGTTTCGATTTTCTGACTCTTCTTTATTTTGGAAATTGCATGAACAATTCTATTTTGCGGTTTTTGAATATTCTGAGTGGCTAAACGCCCTTGTTCTGGGGCTATAGCTACGGATTGATTGTTGAGTATTAAAGGTTTTTTATTTAATTCTTGGTTATCATTTTAAGTTGCTTTTATATTCTTGCATTGGTATTTCTTGACTGGCCATCATAGAGATAAATCCCGTGTCTATTCTTAAAATCGAGAGAGGATAAGGTAGATAGATCAAAGAATATAAAAAGATTGATCTTCCATTGAGTTGATTTGTGTTTAGGAGTGACGCCCAGACGAACACCTAGCTTGGTTATGAAACACGATGAAATATAAGTGCTCGCCAATTAGGACTGTTTTTCCCCTCTCAATGATGTAGTAGACAGTTAATTGGAGTAGGTGACTAGAGGCCGAGAGACCCTACTCATATAATTAACCTTGTAAATTAGTAACTTGATAACCGTTATTAGTTCATTACCTGAAATACGATACATGAAATCTAAAGCATGCTACAACCCTGGAATTGTCTCTTAATTGCTTGAAACATCAATTTGAAGTCTTTCACATTCGTTACTTTTATTTATTGCATAAATCGTAGTAGTAACTAACAACCATCAAACTCTTTTAAAGTTACTTTTGTCGAGTTGTGGAATTGAGTAATAAATATAAGTTGATCATAAGTCCCTTGGGAACGAAAATTCATTTCTAAAAGAAACTATCTTACTTGAGCGACCGCGTACACTTGCGTGTGCATTTGGGAGCAACAAGTTTTTGGCGCCGCTGCCGGGGACTTAGAAATTGATTTATATTTGATTTTCTTAAGTCTACAATTAGATTGTTCAAGTGTTAATAACTTGATCTTAGCTTTTGTGTATTGCAGGCACTTGATTCTCAAGTTTGGCTCGAAAAAGAGATCTTGTCGAACCAGACGACGAACCTAAAAGAGCTTTACGCCTACGTAGAAAAATGGCGAATCAAGGACGTCAGCAACAGTTAGTGCTGGGACTCCCGAAAAATGTTGAGGGTGATCGAGTGGAAAACATGAATAACCAAGAACTTGAAGTACCCCCGATCATACCGACAAGACCAATCCGTGACATGGCAGTCCCACTCATAGCCAATGTGGCGTCTAGTATAAGGAAACCACCACCAGGTGGCAGATTTGAACTAAAACAGAACATAGTGCAGCTCATTCACTCGATGGGACAACTCACCAGTCTCCCTCATGAGGATCCTTTTGTTTTTGGTCAAATGGCCATCAGGCCTTATTATTATATATTAAAATAAAGTAAAGAAATCCAACCAACAACAAAGCAAAAGAAATTGGTCCATTCCATAAAGGAACAGACTCAAATGAATGCAACAAAAGGGAAAAATGGCTTAATCTAGAAGAGGAAAAGTCACTCTGTAACCAAATTCCTTTATTGGTATCGCAACCAGACCATCGTGAACAGGCTTTCGACAACGGACCCGCAATTGCTAGCTTTGGGATGAAGTGATAAGCGATACATACATCCCGATTGGCGTTTCATCAGACTATGTAAGTTTGACATTTCTTCCACACTTGTTATTGGGAGCTGCCAGGCAGTGGTTAAATTTAGAGCCACCAAATTCCATCACTACATGGAATTATCTAGAAAATAAGTTCTTGAGTCGATTCTTTCCATCAGGTAAATCTACACGGTTGAGGAGTGAAATATTGAGCTTCAAGCAGAAAAATGGGGAGGATATGTACCAAGCATGGCATCGATTCAAACAATTGTTAAATGCATGTCCGCAGCACTACCAAGCTAATGAGGTACTTGCTCACATTTTCTTTGAGGGTTTGGATTATAACGCACGAGTACTTCTTAATAGTGCAACAGGTGAACAAGCATTAGCAAAAACCCACGACGAGCTATTCGAGCTCCTAGATAGAATCTCAGAAGGAAACCCCATTTTATTAAGGAGAAATGCCAAGAACCACAAAATATCCTGCGGCAGGACTTTTAGATGTGGATCAAGCTACCGCAATAAATGCAAAACTAGATGCAATGAACCACAACATAACCATGCAGTTCAAACAAATTGCACTAAATCAAGCACATGTGAATGTTGTACATCAGGCAGCAAGTTGGTGTGGAGTCTGTGGTAGTGGAGCACATGAAACTGAACTTTGTGAGGCAAATCCGGATTCCTTAAACTATGTGGGAAATGTGCAAAGAGGTGGAGGTCAGCAAAATTTTGGTAATACTTATAACTCTAGTTGGAGAGCCCATCTTAATTTCTCATGGGGTGGAAAACGAAACCAAAATCAAGCGCAAGGGTCTAACCAATACCGATCGCATGGAATGGGGCAGCAATATCCAAATCCTAGCCAAGGTGTAAATCCGAGTGCTCAAAAAATGGGGATGACTAATGAAGAGTTACTCCAAAAGCTAATGCCAGAAATTGGTACAAAGATAAATGCTAGGATAGATAAGCATGATGAAAACATAAGAAACATCCAAATGTCCCAAATGAGTTTGGAAAAACAAGTTGTGAAAGTAGCTAATTCCCTAAACTTGCGCCTTCAAGGAGGGCTGCCCGGTGAAACTGAACCCAACCCTAAGCAACTGAATGCGGTGAGTACTAGAAGTGGGTTACAACTAGAGGAACTAGCTCCAAAGAAGAGAGATAATGAGGTAGTTAATAAAGAAAAGAAACAAGAAGATGTGGGAAAGAACTCCAATGTTGAGAAGACCGTTCCTCAAATGAAACCACCCCCTCCGTTTCCATAAAAGTTCAGAAAGCAGAATGAAGATGAATGCTTCGGTAAGTTTCTCTCTCTCCTTAAACAGGTTCACATTAACCTGCCTTTGGTTGACATTTTGCAGGAAATTCCAAAGTATGCTAAATATGTGAAGGAGATAGTAGCAAACAAGAGAAGGCTCACGGAGTATAAAATGGTAGTACTTACTGAGGAGTGCATCTCTAGAATTCAGAATATACTACCTAAGAAGTTAAAGGATCTAGGTAGTTTCACGGTGCAAATTACAATTGGACAAAGTGTTCATGCCCGAGGGTTATGTGATTTGGGTGCAAGCATTAATCTCATGCTTGCATTATTATATAAGAAACTTGGGTTGGACAGTCCAAAACCAACCACTGCCATTCTCCAACAAGATGATAGGTCCATCTCTAGGCTAGAGGTGGTAGTAAAAGATGTGTTGGTTCAAGTGAGTTCGTTGATCTTTTCTGTGGACTTTGTGGTCTTAAAATTTGAGCCTGATCCTGAAGTTCCATTTATTTTGGGGCGTCCGCTATTGGCTACGGGGCGGACATTGATTGATGTAGCAGCTGGGCAGTTGACTATGAGGGAACATGATAAGGTTGAAGTATTTGATGTCTACCACACCTTGAAAATGCCTTCTATCTATGAAGAGTTATCTGCTATTACGGTTGTAGATCTCGCAGTAGAATCGCAACTCATTCCGCCCGAGGATCTCTTAGAAAGAGTTTTAGTAGGACATGACATAAATGGAGATACTGAAGCTCAAGATATATCGACTTGTTTGAATCTGGCAGCCATGGGATCACACAGAAGTAGAGTAGAGTCATTAGATCGTGAATTGGGGCCTCCACCCAAACCCTCAATTGAAGAAGAACCTAAGTTGGAATTGAAATCTCTGCCTGCTCACCTAAGGTATGCATATTTGGGTACTAATGAAACCTTACATGTAATACTTTCTGCAGAATTGTCTGAAACACTGGTTGATGCGGCATTGATAGTCTTAAAGCAAAGAAAGAAAGCTATTGGGTGGCAGATGGCAGATATTCATGGGATTAGTCCGGCATTATGTATGCACAAAATCTATATGGAGGAGGATCACAAACCGAGTGCACAACATTAACATAGACTGAATCCTTTGATGAAAGAATTGGTGATAAAGGAAGTAATAACGTGGTTAGATGCTAGAATCGTGTACCCAATTTCTGATAGCAAGTGGGTAAGTCTGGTGCAGTGTGTCCTAAAGAAGCGAGGTATGACAGTGGTGAAGAACGAGAAAAATGAGTTAATTCCCATTAGAATAGTAATCGGATGGAGAATTTACATGGATTATCGGAAGCTAAATGAGGCCACGCGAAAAGATCACTATCATATCCCCTTCATTGATCAGATGTTTGATCGACTAGCAGGCCAGGAGTACTATTGTTTCTTAGATGGGTATTCCAGATATAATCATATTTTGATTGCGCCTGATGATCAAGAAAAGACCACATTCACTTGTCCTTATGGTACATATGTTTTCAAACGCATGCTATTTGGACTTTGCAATGCGCCAACGACTTTTCAAAGGTGCTTGATGGCCATTATTCCTTATATGGTAGAGGACTTTTCGAGGTGTTCATGGATGATTTTTCTGTCTTTGGGAAGTCTTTTGAGGTATGTCTCCGGAATCTTGATAAAGTACTGGCTAGATGTGAATACACCAATTTAGTGCTAAACTGAGAGAAGTGTAACTTCTTGGTTCGAGAGGGTATAGTATCGGGTCATAAGGTGTCAAAGTCGGGATTAGAAGTCGATAAAGCCAAGGTGGAGGTTATTGAAAAATTTCCCCCTCCTATCTCTGTAAAAGGGGTGCGAAGTTTCCTTGGACACACAGGTTTTTACCGAAGATTCATCAAGGACTTTTCCAAGATTACAAGACCTATGTGCAGTCTTTTGGAGAAGGAGATTGATAAAATGTGTTTGAAGATTTTTGAGATGTTGAAGAGGAACTTAATTGAAGCTCCCATCTTAATTGCTCCTAACTGGGAATTACAATTTGAACTCATGTGTGATCCAAGTGACGTAGCAGTGGGTGCAGTATTGGGACAAAGAAAAGATAAAGTGTTCCATTCAATCTACTATGTGAGCAAGACCCTTGATTATGCTCAAGCTAATTACACAGTGACTGAGAAAGGAGATGTTGGATCTAGTGTTCACCTTCGACAAGTTAAGATCGTATTTGGTAGGTACCAAGGTAATTGTTTATATTGACCATGCAGCTATTAGGTACTTATTCAACATGAAGGATGCTAAACCAAGGCTGATTCGGTGGATATTCCTTCTCCAAGAATTTAACCTTGAGATCAAAGATAGAAAGGGTACTCAGAATCAAAGAGCTTATCATTTGTCTAGGTTAGAAGATTTTTCCCATATACATGAAGGGGAAAAGATCTGGGAAGAGTTTCCAGATGAACAATTGATGGCACTAGATATCTCTCAAGTGCCTTGTTATGCGGATATAGTGAATCTGATAGTAAGTGGAGAGTACCCTCCAGATGCAACCACCCAACAAAATAAAAAGCTAAGTCATGATGTTAAGTTCTATATCTGGGATGAACCATTCTTATTCAAGCAATGAGTGGATAGGGTGGTAAGAAGATGCAGTCTAGAGTGTGAGGTAAATAAAGTACTCGAAAGTTGTCATGCCAACCAATATGGAGGACACCACGGAAGAGAGTGCACGACACATAATGTACTATAATATGGTTTCTTTTGGCCCTCTTTATTTAAGGATTAAATTGCTTATGTGAAGGGATGTGATCAATGCCAAAGGTTGGGTACTATATCGAGAAGACATGAGATGCCACTAAGTAACATTCTTAAGGTGGAACTTTTTTATGTGTGGGGTATTGACTTCATGGGTCCCTTCCCGCCATCTAGTGGAAACGAATATATTCTGGTGGCTATTGATTATGTGTCCAAATGGGTTAAGGCGGTAGCTCTTCCCTTGAATGAATCAAGAGTGGTGATTAAATTCATCAAGAAGCATATTTTCACTCATTTTGGCACTCCAAGGGAAATCATAAATGATGGAGGTAAGCATTTCAATAATCATCTAGTGAAAAATCTTCTTGCCAAGTATGGTATTCGGCATAAGGTTGCTACAACTTACCATCCTCAAACAAGTGGTCCAGTGAAAGTATCGAAGAGAGAGGTGAAGCAAATCTTGCAAAAAATGGTGAATGCACAAAGAAAGGATTGGTCTGAAAAGTTGGATGATGCGTTGTGGGCGTATAGAACTGCATATAAAACACCCATAGGGACTTCTCCCTATCACATAGTGTTCGGCAAAGCATGTCATCTTCCGGTGGAATTAGAACACCTAGCATATTGGGCAATAAAGAGGTTAAATCTCGACTTCGAGCTGGCAGGTAGGAAGTGAGTGGATCAATTACATGAACTTGAGGAGTTTAGGCTCCATGCATATGAGAATGCCAAGCTCTACAAAGAAAAGACGAAAATATGGCATGCCAAGCACATAGTTCCTCGCACTTTCACTCTGGGAGAAAAGGTACTACTTTTTAACTCAAGACTGAGGTTATTCCCCGGAAAACTAAGGTCAAAATGGAGTGGTCCCTTCGAAGTGGTAAGGATGACACAACATGGTGCCGTTGAAATTAAAGATAAAAATGGTCATTCATTCTTCGTCAATGAGCAAAGAGTCAAACACTACTTTGGTGAAGATTCAAATCATGATCGGGAGGCTCTTGAGCTGAATGAAGAATGATCCAAGCTGAGTCGAGCCGCAAAGTTAAACCAGGCGCTCCACGAGAGGCAAACCGTGAATGATATGTAATAGATAGTTAACTTGTTTAATTTTGATTTTTTTGTATTAGAGTAGTTTCAATTGATAGGATCTAGTAAAGTTTGTTATTTTCATTATTAGATAGTTAGGATTTCACTTATTTGTAACTTATTTTGTTATAGCAAAAAAAAACAAAAAAACAAAAACTGGGGCCGGCGTACTGTCTAGCGTGCCGCGCCAGGACAAAAACTACAGAGTTAGCTTCCTGGCGCACTAAGCGGCTCGCTACGCCAGGAGGTAAACAACAGAGCACTAGGGTGGGCGCACTGCCGGCGCCTCGCGCCACTATCGCTCCCCAATGCAGTTTTTCTAAAAAATAGGTCAAACCCGACCCATTAACTAAAACCCACCCTTTTAAATCCCCAAAACAAATTCATCCCCCATAATTTCTAAATTCCAACCGACCCAATCCCCTAAATTCTCTCAAAACTTTATTCTTCCTCTTCTCTTTTCTTCGAAATTCCTCCGTATAAACTACCAATTCCTCCATTCTTCACTCCCCCAAAATCTTTCCTTCTCCAATTTTCTTTTTCTTTCTTCTTCCCACCACTGCCAACTTGATTCCTTGGTCTTTGTCCCCAAAAATTTTCTTCTCTCGTTTTCCTTCTTTAGAAGTTCTAATGGCACCTAAAGTTAGGAATGTGGAAGGTGGAGCGGGTTTTAAGCGTTCTAAGAAAGGATATACTGTCGGGTCTTCTAGTAGCCGGACTCCGTTCCAAAAATTTGGCAAGCAAGCGGTGGAGCAATATGGAAATGAGTGGTTCAAATGCCAAAAATAAGCCAAATACCTCGGTGATGAGTTTGTTAATGAGGTATGATTACAATCTGAATTCCCGCTAATTTATAATACTGTGAATGCTTTGCGGCTACGTTTTATGTTTGAAAACTAAGGAGATTGCAATCTAACCTTGGTTAGGGAGTTTTATGCAAATTGGATTACGAAGACCGGTTCAATAAGTTTGTTCTAATTCGGGGGAATGATGTACGCTTTACTTCTAAAGTGTTGAACTTGTTTTTGGGTACTCCCAATTGTGACACAGATGATTACAATAAGCTAAAGAAACCCCCTATAGAGATATCCGACATACTTTGTGTGGGGTAGAGTCCACGACTAGGTGGAACCGTAGTAAGGATACCGGTAGGCATGCCACTCTCCATTATGCCAATTTAAACCAAATGGAGAGAGTTTGGCTTAAAATTGTGTGTAGTGTCTTTTTACAGGCTAAGCACACTTCATATGTGACTAGAGAGAGGGTAGTGTAGGTATATATGTTGATAAAAGGTACGCCCATTAATGTTGGGGTGGTGTTGCAACAAAACATGATGAAATTCCACAACAACAAAAGGTGGAGGTTTTGCTATGGGGGGTTGATCACCCAATTTCTATGGGCTGAGGGTATTGAGGAGGAAGAGCTATATATGACCGTTGCTAGGTCCCTATACTTGATCTATAATATGGTTGATGTCACTCGTACAAAGGCTCTCGCCACGTCCTATGGACCTGTCTTATCGGCTTAGGGACGGCAAGCAAGAGATAATAGTTGGATGGCTCGCATGTTTGGCATGACCGAGTTGCAGCAGAGGATCGGGGGTAGCCCAATTATTGATAATGAGATGGAGAACTTGGCGAAGCTCTACCCGCTGACGGATATTGCAGCCTACATATGCAGGGTAGGTCCAGCGTTTTAAGAGCCTCTTGATGATGATGAGGTCACCGCGGATGAAGAAATGGATGAAGAGGATGATGATGATGTGGTTGATGATGATGCTAATGCGTTGATGGTATTCAATGGAGCCACTGATGTGGCGGATGGTCGTGATGATGACGACAAGGCCTGGAGGCCTGAGGGAGTATCTCTAACTCTGTACTTTGTTTTATTTGTGCGCACTGAGGACAGTGTTATTTTTAAGTGTGGGTTGGGATATGACTCTCTATTGTGTATATGGTTTCTACTGCTTTATCGAGTCTTGTTCTTTTTGATGTTATTTTTATTTTGGGTTCCTCAACTCTTGTTTTTGGTACTTTTCCTGAGGATTGTCCCATTGAACCAACCCGGTCTAGTTTTATTGTTTTTATTGAGTCTTAAAGTCATCATAGGAGTAACAGTTCTCGATGATGGATGGATGATGACCGTCTTAAGAGAAAATTAGTCACGAAGAGGAGTAGAATTGGAAAACCAACCTATTGGTATTTTGAAACTATGTCCTAAAAAGTTAGCCAGATGTCATGGGTAGTCACAATAGGGATATGCAATGAAATGGTAACCTTGAAACAA